CCCCCCCCAATTTATTTCCTCTAACATAAAGGCAGGGCACCCCATACTTTAAAAAAAAAACAAACCAAAAACATAAAAAACCCCCCAAAACCCCCCAAAAAACCCAAAAAAGGGATAGACTCTTTTGCACACAGAATTTTCCATGTGCAAAGAGGACTGAGGGAGCGCATGCTGGGTTTTGGTGCTGGCTAAGTATTCCATGTCCAGTCCAATGATTTTTTTCCCTGCCCTTGACCTGTTCTATTTCTCCTGAAGATGTGCCTGTTGCATTATTGATGTATAAAATCTGACGAAGCAGTTTAATTGATCAGATCCCCTTTTTAGAAGCTGCTCAGTGTGGGAGAAAGGCAGAAGGATTAGTCCACCGTGTCCCACTAACTTTTCTTCTGTCCTTTGTGCATCTGAGACCGGCCTCCAAAGGTTGATTAATCTTCCTTTTCCACGTGGTTTCTGACAACTGAGTTTCTCAACAAAGCAGAGCTTTGTTTTTTTATGCTGTAGTTCTAATGAGAACATATTATTTATCTCAGTATCCTCTAACTGAGTTGCTTTTCCTCAGGAAAGGTACCCAAATGCAGTAAGGCAGACCCAGGAAATTCAGCTAACTCAGGCCTCCTAAGGGCTTAGACAGGGAGGTGTAAGCCGTGCTGGTATCACTTGAAGAAACGTTCTGCCCACTTTCATTGCCATGACGATTCTCATTTCTAAACTGTATTTCTGAGCATCTTGAATGGTCAAGCAGCATCCAGCCCAAAATGTAGTCAGTCAATCAGATTCAAAATTCTCCTTAATAAGATGGGCATGTTTTAAAGGGACCTTCCTGTCCCAGCCCTTTCCTCCATCCATTTATCGGTATGTGAACAGATGTGTTAGTTCAGAAACGTTCACTTTTGAGCCCCTTTTTCCCCAGCTAACCACTATGCACTGGGAGCTCCATCACCACCTTGGTGGTGCGGTCTTTGCAGAAGCGAGGCTGCGAGAGCTTCCGAATTAGTTCCGGCCACTGTTTTTATGTTCAGGACTAAGGGAAAATTCTGGCAGCCCCCATTGGCCTGGTATTTAGATGATGTGCTTGACTGTATTATGGACAAGGTTTTACTTTTTGACAGATTTGTGCTTAGAAAGTTCACCTAGATCAGCCCATTTGCCGCTGTGTTTTGTCATTTCCAGTGATGGAAAGTCATCAAGTTGCGCTCTGTTTACTTCTTTTCTCATAGGTAATTGAAAACTGTCTGGTGTCTGTCATCACCCGACAGAGTCTGTTATCCCCGTTCAAGATTTACATCCTTCTCTGAACCTTCACATGCTAGCTTGCCTTAACGTTAGCATTGAATGTATCGATCCAGTAAGGTATTTAAGCATGTGCTTAACCTCAAGCTCCTGAGTAGTTTTCCCTTATTTTTATGAAGCCCATCACATGCTTGAGGTTAGACATATGCTTTGGTGTCTTACTGGATTGTCTATTGGGGTTGAGAAACGAACCATCTTAGGAGAGCTACTTGCAAGTAGACAAAGGTGCAGCTCAACCAACAAGGCTGCCTGACACCATCTCCGGCTGCAGCGTTTTTGATACCACCAAGCAGCAGGCTGCACTCGCGGGGAGCAGCCGCTCGGGATGGTTCTTGGGTTTTTCTTTAGGCTTTTTGCTCTACTATAACCATGAGATTGGAGCTTGATGGTGAGAGAGGAACCTCCAGGAAGAGTATTCGAGAGCCGCTCCTGTGAAGGAGCAAGCTTGTGTTCCTTGGCTTTTTACATTGTTAATTTTACTTGAAGGTGATGTGCTGAGACTGCGTTTTTGCACTATGATGCTGTACATTTGTAAAGTTTTACAGAAAACACTAATTAAATGTGTTTCGTTTTTTCTCATTTAGTCCTGCACTGGCATTTCTCTCGCTACTTTCGCCTACCCCTCACTCCTTTCCTCTTTCCCAAGTCTTCCCTCAAGGGAAAATAGCTTCCAGGAATTCAAGAGGTTCACCTGTGAGATAATGTAGGGCCCACTGGTGGGTTGTGATCATCTCGGCAAAACAAGAGCTGGGGAGATGTAGCGTGCAAAATGTGGCACTGCGAAAGCAGCTGAGTTCTTCAAACAAAAATGCTGGTCAGCATGGTAAAAGAATCTATAGTTCTTGAAATTACTTGCATTTTTTTATCCTTTTATACTTTTTTTCCCTTGCTTTCAGTGATAATAGAGCTCAAACTTCACTCTTGGAATTACTTTTTAAAATCTTTTGTTTATAAACTTTTTTTCTTCTTTACGTGTGATGTAATAATATGGTCCTTCCTGCTAATTTGTTCTTAGGGGTACCAGGACAGTGGCACAGAGCACGAAACCTGCACAACCCAAAGCCCTCAGAGCAGACCTTGTCCAGCCTTCTCTCAGAAAAGGGAAGCAGATAATTGTTAGGACCAAGCTCACAAATGTTGGTAGCATTTGCAGCTTTCTAGAGAAAAATCCCCGCAGCGATGCTTTCACACAGGCCCTTGCTCATCCTCCTGCCCTGTCTTGGAGGCCAAGGATTTTACCGGCATGTTTTTCCTCATGGAAGGTGGAAAACAGCTGAAGTTTAAAGCAATCGTGTTTTCTTCCCAGAGGGCTTTTATGATTATTTTGTGTTACGGTTAGGAGCAGTTCCCTTACCACCAGATGGCACCTAAGCCCAGCTAATTGGAAATGCATCTTTTCAACAAGCCCATAGTAATTATTTTTTCTTTAAATGCGCGCATCTACAAAGCCTGTTCAATTTTATTTATTGCAAATTATTAGAGATTTATAGAAATATGAAAGAAGACACTCCCCTAAACTTGGGTATGAATAATGAATTGAGGTCACCTAAAGCCTAGCTTCTACTCCTGATGTTGCAATTGTTGGTTTTATCGTAAAACCACCGTCAGCCCTCGAAGATGAGGCCAATGCTTTTATGTGCTTAAACAGCGTACAGTTATTTTCTGACTGACTAGCACAGCTGCTTCTCCGTTAGGAAAATGAGAGCCGTTAACGCCTCGGCAGCATTGGCCAAGAGTTGCCCATTTCCTCCAACTCTTTTTTTACACTGCTCTCTAGCAGTCTCCACTTCTGTGAATTTTATTCTCTAGCCCAGAAGGGGAGAAAGGGGAGGAGAAAAACAAAAAAAAAAAAGAGGGAAGAGGAGAAGAGAGAACCTGGCTGAGGCATCACTGCTGTTATCTTCCATTTCACGTTAGCACAAGACTAGCACTGTGATGTAAGACAGAAACTAATGAAAGAAGAATTCCTTTGGTTGGCTTGTTACACCAAAGCTGTCTTTCTGCTGCTATGGACTGGCTGCTTATTTTTCTGTTATATTCAAATCTGGATCCCGAGACATCTCACAATGAAAAACCATGAAAATGGCAGGTATAAGTATATGCTTCCTCACAGATGGCCCTAGAAGGTAAAACCAGATTTTTCATGCACGAACGCTATTTCTGCATCTGTTTTTGCATAAACAATCATGATGTCTATGAATATTAGATCCATAAAATATCATGTTAAGAAGCGATCTCCATTTGTTGTTGAAGTCCATCTGGTATGACATAGACTGGGAAGGAGATGATACAAGTGAAAATATATGTGGTTGCAAGTAGGATCTTTATTCAGCTCAAATGACAGAAACGTTACATTATGCATTGCAACTACGTATGTAATGAAACCCTAAGATATAAACATTTCACTAAGTAATTTCTAGAAGGACGCAAAGGAAAAAATGACATCAGAGAGTGGAATTTAACCTTAAAACAGTAGTGCCCTCGCTTTCAAAGTGGCGAACGCTGCCAGCTGCCATGACGAGCTGGAGGCCGCAGGATCTCTGGCAGCTTTGGCAGCAGGAACACAAGGCATTGCTACCTGCAGGTTACAGAGGATTAAGGGCTTTTTTCACGCTGACACCACCACAAGTTCTGCCCGGAAGGTCAGATGCTGGAGGCCGTGGCAGCCTCCGACTGAGGCACTAACTCCTCCCGTGGAAGATGATGGGTTTTATACCACTGTAACTATGATGTCAGTTCTAACTAATGGTGCCGTTGCTGAGCTCTGCCTTTTGAGAACAACTGTGTGCAGTCAGCCAGGCACTCCGCTCCAGATTTGGTCTGGGGTTTTTTTCAAAGAAGTGATTCATCTAATCCATTCTCACAGCCCTGGTGATCTTGTGCTTCATGAGGACATCCTTCACCCTCAGCCAGGCACTGTGCCTCGCCATCAGTGCCATTCCCTGTTAAAAGCATGAAGGCAAAAGGCAAATGAAACTCATGGGTGGTTTTTAATACTGCAGAAAGAAATGTAGAGTCTGATTTTTGAAAACCATTTCAATAAAACTCAGCAAGAACTTCTGCGTAGAAAAGAGAAAACAATGCTTTTAATTCCTAATTTATTAGGATTTCCACATAAATAAAAGGAAGAGGCGATTATTAACTAATGGTGGATTGAAAATTTTTTCAACAAGAGCTGAACAAATCCTTCCTTTTAGTGCATATGTGCCACCCACCTTTTCCTCTGTCATTAATTACATCACTGGAATCTTACCAGGGCAAGTAACTGTAATCTGACTGTCCTCTTCCCCTGGGCCATTTGGTTGATTGCAGACTGGTGACAATAGTAGATTATCCCTGGGTTTGGTGACAACCTCTTGTATTAAGGGGTTTGAGGGGGTTGCTTGTTTATCTTTGGTCTCCCAGTGCCTTTCTGAATTAGCAGGCTCTGTAAAGAAGCTTTCAAGAAGGGGCCTTAAGTGCTCCTTTTCGTGCTCTTTATTTATCTTACGCACATCTGAAAAAATCGCTGTTGGAATTTCTTCTCCTGCTAACCTGCTGAATTCTCATACATGCTTTTATTGTTTTCCTCTAATACAGAGTCGCTGTCATTTGTCATTTCAGAAATTATTTCAATCTTTGGGTGATATTCCTGCTGTAAAGGTAGAAAACGTAATCAAAAATATATCATTCCAGATGTAAAAGCTTAAGAGATGGGTAAATACCTCCTGGATCCACATAACAGCTGTCAGCTTTGATGTGCTGTTCTCCCAAAATGCATGGAAGATGTGCTTCACCATAGCTCTGCTGCTTTGTGGATGAATCTTGGGCTAAGTATTTCTCAGGCATTAGCAATGAACTGACCATAAACTATTAACGGTTCATAAAAAGACCACCTATTTCAGCAATTCAGCAGAAATTCAGTGTGGGCTCAGTGCTATTACTTTACCTCCAAACAGAGGGACCCAACTAACATCTTCATCTGATTTAGGAACGGAAAACCCTTCGGAACGTGAGAGCTGCTAATGCATACTCCTTCAATAATCCTCTTTGTCCCCTTCCCTTATCTTCTGGTTAATCGGAGGTACTGTTGGCCAAGACATTTTGCAACACTGTTATGACTCTGTGACCAAAAGAGCCCTGACTGTAGGAAAAATTTGCATTACCTTGGAGGGACTTGTAAAATACGTACTGTATCAGCCTCTGTCTCCAGCAAGGCAAGTATGAGTCAGCATCAGCACGAGAATCGAAGCCGTGCTTTTACTCTTCGAGGTTTCTTTTTTCTCGTTTCTGTTTATAGGCTTTTGCCTAGAAAATCAGTTTGAGCACAGCACAATGCTAACATTGGGGCTGGAACTGCCTCGTATCTGACCGGCCCCAAGTTAGGCAGAGGAGTTCCAATCTCTCTGTGTTTCCAGTTGAAAAGTCTGGTTTTATTCAGTAGCAGGCAGTTTGTTCTATGTATTCACCTTTGCAGCATATTAGTACTGGTAAAGTATATTTTAAGAGTAATCTTCATTAAAACACTACCTGCTACTAAGAAATTTAACTGTTGCATTACTTGATCTTAAGTTTTCATTCTCCTATTTTTGCAACGCAGTAATATAAAAAATCGAATTAAAATAAGATTTTCAAGTGGATAGAGAAGATCTGCTGAAACATCCATTTTAGTTGACTAAATGCATAATTGATTGCATCTCCCAACCAGCATTGCACAACTTAGATTATCCTCATTTTGCAAAACATCTGTAAATGTGTTTAGGGAAGCTTCATCACTGGAATTAATAAGAATCTTTTACCTTTTGAACAAAGATTTCCTCTTCTGGGGTAAATTCACTTACATCTATATCTTCTAAATCAGGCAGTTCCTGAAGACAATCACAAGATCATTAATAAGTGGGAAATGCTACTGTAACCAATAAAACACGACAGCGCTGTCCCATTGGTAACCATTGGCAATAACCTTAATGTCAGACTGAATGCCATTTTCTACTACGCTGTGTGATTACAAAGGGAAAAAAGGATAACCAGCAAGGCATTAACAAGATTTTAAAAGCAAACGTGGGTTATGTCTATTAGCTGTTTCTCTTCTATTCAATAATCTCAACTGCGACCTGCCTTTATGGGTAAGAGCCAAATCAAGATCTGCAGTCTACCTGAAACTGTTTATCAGTAAGCGCTGTTAAGCTAAATACATCTAATAAACAATGCCTTACTGTGAATTAAGGATATAGAACTGCAAACCTGCTGAGAATTGGTTTTCCTCAGACAGGTCCAATTATTTCAGCTTTCTGTTAGAAAATGTTATCCAAGACAGCTATCACTTGCTGACATGAAAGCAAAAATAGAGGGTGGGAATACAAAATCATAGGTAGAAAGTAATATCTTTTTGCCCCCCCCCCCTTTTTTTTTGTGTGTGTGTGTAGGTCAATACTGGTAAAAGCATCTCCTTTTGTTTTGAGATGTTTTTAGAGCTTACTGATTTTATAGCAAGCTGCTTGGCACGGTAGCATCAGGAACATCTAATCTCTGCTGTTGTGCATGGTGGAGGTTATTACAGAATTAAAATCAACAAAGGAAATTTCTGTTTCCTGATATGGTTGTAGCTAGTGCAGCACATCCTGAAGTCACATAGTTTTTATAAGAATAGCATTAACAATGTACAAATTAAGATTTGAGGCTAATGTTAGCGGGTAGAATTTGGTTTCAGTAGGGAAGTGAAATAGCTGTTAGTCTTGTTCCCATCGGCAGGTTGCATTTGCAGATCAACCCAAAATTGCTTACTAAAAGTTATCCTGGTTTAGGTCCACAGAATACAGTCCAAACACTGCCAAGGCATGTGCAGCAACATGGGCTTGTTTCTGCTTGACAGAGGGATGTCCTAACCACTGCATTACAAATCCTCCTCCGCTCTTCTCCCTTATATTACTACTGAGGCCATCTACTGACTCCAGGACATGAATAAAGACGACTGTGCTGCTCCCGAGCTTCTCACCATTGGCATCTTCACTGCCCTTCCCTGCTATGTCAGCACTAAGTCTCTTTGGAAAATCTGCAATAACGTAAGTATTGGAGGTTGTTCTGAGGAGCTCTTTCCATTACTAAATGTCAGTTGGAGAACAAAATAGGGTAGAACACTGAAATGCGTATTAATGTGTGTTTCGGGTTTGTTTTTTCTTCTGTAGAATTAAAATAGTCACACTTCTTATGTGTCAAAAAAAACCCCAAGCACGTATGCCGAAGAGTTCCTTTTATACTATGTTAAAGTTTGCGCAAAGGAGCTTGCTATGGTGCCGTATAGCACCAAGAAAAAAGCAAACACTGAATCTGTGAGATCTTCACATTGTGGGTACTTGCAGTATCACTATTTATTTAAAGCTTTTATTTCAGACCCTGCAAGATCTGCTTATAAAAATAATAACGTATATACTTGGAATTGCTGCCAGTTCTCTCCACTATCCTTCTTAAACCTATTATTAAAAACAGCCAAACAGGAGGCTGCAGCAGTGAGCCCTCTACTGAGGCAGTGAGTTGAGCACTTCGATAACAGGATGGAATTTCTTCCTGGGAAATTAAAAGCATGGAAAAGATATGAGACTTTTCTAAAACATTCCAGTAAGAATTTAGTTAACTGTGGCAGTGTAAGGGATTAAAGAGTATATTAAGTGCTCTGGGAAATCACAAGCTCAGAAGTTCGTCATAATCTGAAACTGTCAGTTTAGCAGCAGTGCCTTAATTAGGACATAGTGAATAGTTCGCCTGTGAAGTGAGATTGCGTTTTTCAGTGGTATCCATGTCCTCTTCATGGTTAAATGTGGTTATACATGTTTAAATGTTTGCATCATCAGATAGAGATTAGATAATAGAAGATCGTATTACAAATGTCAATAACTTGTTATATACCTGAATGATGCACATTCTGCTTTTCTTGGAAATATACCTAGAAGTTATATTTTGAGAATTAATTTATAATACCTAATATTGCTAGCTAACATTTACAATGAGTGGGTGGCTATTTCTTCCTTATGCTTTTTCTCCAATACATTTTCAACTGCATATTTCATTTAAGTTTTGCCTAAGAGGACGCATGTATCCAACAGATTCTTTTTGTTGTGATTTCTGTTTTTTAAATGAGAGCCCTCATTAACTTCTCCAGAGAAATCACAGAGACAGATGATCAACTTCAGGTGACTTATGGCCAAAGGACAAAAGAAACTTTGGAAGCACTGGCAAATTCTTTACACATGCTATGCTGGAGAGAATGAATACCCCTACAACTTTATTTTTTGGGTTTGTTTTCTTCTTTCCTTTTACTTTTCCTAATAGTTGACCTTTCTTAGAAACCTGGCCATATAGTTTTATTAGCCAGGATATTACAAGAATTAATTTGGGAGCAGACAATACCCAGATCTGAACTTCTCAAAATCTGAATCCAATACCTACGTCAATATAAAGTTTCTCCAGTGTTTCCAGTTTGACCTGTTCAGTATATTCATCCAGTTCAGGAAGCACGGCCTTTGCAGTCGTGGCCTTCTCTCCTGGTAGATCTAATGAAAAAACAATAGTCAGTTGCAGAGAACTAGCTGAATAAAAGACTTTCTATATTGCAACAGCAAGTACTGCAAAACCAAACTGCTTGGTGACCTGATGGCCATTCAGAATTCAAAGCTGAATGCAGTGCTTTCTCTTTCCATCAAATTCTTGGTCTCCCTTATATTGTATTAATTAATATTTCCATTTTGCAGTAATGTATTCCACAAATCTACAAAAGCATTCATGGTGTGCGAAGGCACAAAACCACCTCTAGAGTGATGTCCAGCTTCTGCTGGCAGACACACTGCACTGCACAATTTCTGTGGGAGCAAGGGAAGCCTGTAAGCTCTCCTGTCCTGCCGCTAACCCTGGCACGCATGAGAAGTGGAATTCCACCTTTATGAAGCAGAAGTTGCAGCTTGAGCTCTCAGAATTTTGTTTGGTTGTTGTATTTAAAGAATATTTTATCCAGTATTACTTGATTTTCAACTAGTCATTGTGTAAGTCTAATGGGATGTTTTTATCTATGAATCAGTTGGTTTGAGTCACAGCAGAGGCGGTGTTATACTAAGAGTTTGGCTCATTGTCTCTGCATCCTCAGTTTGGTTTGGTTCTTCACTGTGTACATTACCATCTGCCTTCTTGTTGAAGTTTGAGTGTTTGTAAGAGTGTGATTCTTGTGCATCCTCTTGCATTCTAGCAGGAGTATTTCCAGATGGGAGATCAGTGTTATCATCTCCCCTATTTGGTACAAGTGTTATCACTTCATCATGAGCATCAAAACTTTCATTTCTAAATTTCTCAGTCTTCTCTTGAGTTTCTTCCTCTTCTGATATTTTTGAAATCTCTGATGTATTAGAATTTCCATCACTATCATGTGAATTTGCAGGTGCTCCTACAGAAGAAACAAGTTCATTAAAACTGCTGAGTTAATCTACCATTGCTCATTCTAAATATCCAAACTTTACTATGTGGTCTTAATAGTTTGGCCTCAAATATGCATCAGTACTCTATTTGAGCAGCTATTTGTGGATCAGTAGTCCTCCCAAGATTGCAGCATCTCAACTTCCTAGCACACACAGTTCCCCAGCAAAAAACTCATTAGAGAAAACACTATAGTAAATAATTGTCTGGTATCTATAGTTAACTTTGAAAAGACTCACAAATGACTATATATTTCAATATATGTTTGAGCAGTCTGATGGCTCGGTGACAAATGCTGAAGGTGTCCTCTCCTTTATGCAATCTACCTGCTTGCAGAAAAAGTTTTGCTTGTTAGTCAACCATGTTTGATTTCAGAGCCTGTGAAACCCCAAACCATACCAGATCGATAAACACTCCTCTGCACTGCCGTACTGCCTTCTGATTTGGCTTCAGTCCTGTTTATCCTGGAACATGCACACTTCTCTAGAAAGGTTAGGTAGGGACCTATTACTGGCCGTAGACATATGCCTCCTTGAATAATGTGACAGGAGAATTTCTGGCATAAAAAAAGGCAGTGAGTGAAGGAAACGATCAAAGGCCTTCCTCTCCCTGCCTGTGTTACTGCTACTGTAGGCTCTAGGCTGAAGCTTTTCTTGCTGGTGAAGGCTGCCGTGGGAGAGGCGCCTGGGGACTGGAGCGGTGGTTGTCACTGGGTCTTACTAGAGCCCATGTGGCCCTGTTCTGCCTCTTGGGGAAATACCACTCTTTGGGTGTAACTGCCTGCCTCCACCCACGAATGCCTGCTGGAACCATTATTGCCCTGGCTAGCACCTGGTTGCTCTGGGGACAAGCACAAAAGCTTGAAATGCCGGGACAGAAAGTAGTTTGTTGGTTTTTTTGTTTTGTCAGCAGTGAGAAAGAAAGATGATGATTGCTTAAAATCATTGTGGTTAATGCACGAAGGTTAATAAAGTATTTAGTATGGGAAAAGGAGATTCATAAATATATTTCAAAAATTGCATCAGCCTGCTTCTGAACATTTAGGAACTATTAGTTTATTTTAAACATTCAAACTGAAGCAGACACAGACATCTTCCAAAACAGTAACCACAAACCTTCTCGGATGTCTGTTGTATCTCCATTTCCACATTCTGCTCTTGTACCTCTTTCTTCCATATCCTTTTGCCTTTTCTTTTCCTCTGCTTTTTGCCTGATTGCTGCTAAAGCATCGATGCTATCTTGGATTTTTTTCCTCTCTCTGGTTTCCCATTTTTCCCTTTCTGCTTTCTCAGCTTCAAGGCCTCCAACAGCCCAGGCTTCTGCACAGGCTCTAATGAAAACACAAAAGCTTGCTGTAATACAGCTATAAAAGCCCATTTTTATATTGAGAGAGAAATTTAAAATAGCTTGCAACAGCGTAAAATAGCTGCAAAAGTAAAAAAGCATATAGGAGTGACAATCCCTTACGCAACAGGGATGCATGTATATCTTATCTTGTATGTGGAACTGCAACAAAAGAAACAAAGATATCCAAATGCTGGTGAATATACCACCAGAGATCTGCCAGAAGCGCTGATGTTGGCTCTGTTTTTCCAGACACCTGTTCAGTTTCTTTTGAAATCGGGATTTGTCTCTGGTCTACAGACTTAGCATAAAACAATTCTCTTCAAGAATTAATTCTCTTGTGAAAAAATACTTTTTTTTTTTTTTGTATGTTAGATGTAGAACTCCATAGTATAATAATCTTGTACTCAAAGTCACCCACCCTCAATAAATTATACTGGTCAGTCTTCCTTTCCTTCCAAGAGAATATTGGCAAAAAATGGATGAGTGGATGAGTGAGCATAGCACTTGAGCTTTATTGCTGTGTAAAGAAGATGGCTCTGTTTCTTACCTGTCCTTTGGGAACACTGGTCTGTCATCCAGATATGTTAGTACTTTTAGTCGAACAGTAAGTGTTTTTCTATAATTAGCAATTTTCTTTATCACTTGATTTCCCATCAAATTCAGCACATGCTAGAGAAACAAGGGAAACAGTTGAATAGCAAAAAAAACCCCAAAAAACAAACAATCTGGATGTGCACTTTCCCTATCATTTCAAAAACAAGAAGTGAATAAAACATCCTGGGTGTTACAGGTAATCTACAAAAAACAAATAAAGTTTAATAACTTTTTTTTTTTAGACCACGACCTGTTGTGCACTGGACTACCCAAGAAAACCATTTAACCCATACACACGATACAAACCTTCAATTGTATTTGGCTTACCAAATTAGGCATGGTCTCCAGAATAGTTATAATACTTGGATCACTTAGATTGTTGTGGGAAAGATCGAGAACAGAAATACTTGGGCATTCTTGCAAGTGTTGTATGTCTTCCAATGTTTGTAACTTGTTGTGAGCAATCTGCAGGGTCTGCAGGGCTTTCAGACAAGCTGTCAAACAAGAAGAGTACGATGAAAGCAAAGGTCAGAGCCACTTTACTGAGGGTTTTCTGGAGCAAGTAGAAAACTGCATTGTCAAAATACTCGTTTATGTGGAATTGGGAGCTTTTTTCCCTGAAAAAAAAAAGTATCTAGACATCCAAAGCTGCTTTCTTTACCCCGGGAAAAACAGTTGTTTGGTTTCAGGATGATGGTTGGTTTTAATTCACGTTTCAAACTAGTCAGTTAGTTACACAAAAGCAAGAGCTTGTGTTGCAAATTACTCCCAATGTACGCAAATGAAAACGTCGAGGAATTCTTTTATATTTTCTGCTGAAGATGGAATAAATCTTTTAATAAACATAAAAGATTTGGTAATCGTGTCTGCAACTGCCAAAGAACATCTTAACCGTAAAGTAAATGGTGAAAACTGGATTGTCAGCCTGTCTGCAACACAGATAAGTACTGGGATGTTATTAAGAAGTGAGGAAAAACTACTGAATTGTCCTAGGTATCCACATGAAAGTAATTACTATGTCTTTTCCGTTTTCTCATCTAGTTAAATTGCAAAACACATAGGTTTGACTCTTATACAGAAGCTTTGTGGACTTTGGTATGGGAAATTGTGCAAAATTTTAACATGAATACCCCCCCCACCCCCGAAACTAGTGCCACTAATAATAGCTTAGCTTAGTCAAAGCTTAGGAATATGGGCTCGTTATAGGTTAAAACATGTTGCACCAACAGTTCTTACAGAGGTTCTCAATGGTCTTAACGTAGTTGTTACTGATATTGAGGGAATCCAGCTTTTGTAAGGGTTCAAGGTTTTCAATTTTGTTAATTAAATTGAGTTGCAAGTAGAGGCAACGCAACTCTGTCAGAGCCTCCAAATTCTCAATTTTCGTTAAGCCATTGCATTCCAGCCATAAACACTTCAGTCCAGTATACTCTTCAAGATTCTCCAGGTGGTCAAATCCTGCAGAAATAGATGTTTTAAAATGAAGTTGCATTGGCTGAAAACAAGTCTTTTGAAGACTAAATCTCATTAAACCAGTACTGCTGAAACAGCCTGTGAGAACACTTGTACTGCCAATATTTCCACGCAATTAATGGTACAGTACCTGGCTGATATAGGGCAAAACCACATAGGCGCCTATTCTGGTCTATATCTCATGCAGCCCTTTAGATGCTCAAGTAACACATATAGACAAAACAGCATAACCAAGGCCAAACATAGAAGGTAGATTTAGCACGTCCTATTTATTTAAAAGGATTCTTATGCTAACCCGAACAAGCTAACTGTATCATGCAAAAACCTGCTTGAAGATCACAAGAGGATGATCCATGTTCATTCTAGCAACTTCTTTTTCTTTCAGTAGTATTTGAGAACATGCAGCAAGTCTCTACTGTTCATTTTCTTCCTGACCATTTTTATTTGGCAGTAAAAAAAGTCCCCAAAGCTGGAAAACAGCTTCTTTATACAAACACATTTAAGAAGAAATACATATATTTTCATCTGAACGCAATCCAGACCATTATTTTAAGACACTTCTCAGAGGCTACTGGTTTTGGGGGGGGGGGGGGGGGGGGAAGTGTCCCTTGATTCCTATTGATCCTTTGAATGACTCCACAAAGTGAATTAGATCTATAATCAGTTTACTTCATTACCTTGACTCATTTTGTTTCACAAGTTCATTATTATATAAAATTGAATTATGTTTCTAATGTAAAAGAATTATTAGATGTTTTACTTCAGTAATTCTCTGCTAAAATGCAGAGAATTCTCTGGTAAATAGATTCTCAGCTAAAATGCTACTTAGAATGATAAATCTAAACAGTCATGTCCACATCTTACCTTTATAATGCAAGTAAAGCGTATCATTTAAGTATGGGGTCACGTATAATTTCTGCTGTTTACAGAGGTCTCGCAGAATCTTTTTTGTCATTCTGAAATAATAATAATGGGAAGCAGAAGCAAAACAAAAAATGGATTTCAGTGCACATTCTGAAATCTTTGGGTTTTTAACAGATTTCAATGCAACACAATTAATCGTTCTTTTATGCAAGAGAAATCACTACAGCCCTCAAGACTATACTCCAAATAAAAAACATTCCAATTCATTCCATTCATAAAATGTGTTCCTTCACTAATTACCTTATATGCAGTTACTGCTCTCTGCCATCATTCTTCATAAGAACTTCATTCTGAAGTGTGCCAGGCTGATTAGCCTGGGATAATGAAATTTTTATGTAAGTACAGTTCAATCTGCCTCCTGATAACTCCGTGAAAGTCTGTCTCTTGACTTTAAAGGGCTGTAACTGTCTCTAATACAGTTATGTTAAAGTTAGCAGCAACATAAACTTTGGGAAGTTTCACCAACATGTAAACAGGTACAAGAGTGGAGGATAAATCTTCACTGTTCCTTATATATCATTCCATAACTAGCTCACGCAACCAGACTTCCAACAATGTTATTAAATAGTAGAAAATATGGTTTTTAATTGTATTATTTGCTTGCAATGTGCTTATTCAGAGATAACAGCAGAATAATCCCATTTCACAACTATTAATGAACAGCCGTTGCAGTGCATGCTGGTTTAGGCTGGACCAAAATTAAAGCCAGAGCTTATAAAGGAGTTTGTACTGGGTTTGCGTGGCAAGGTTTTGGTAGCGGGGTGGCTAC